TTGTTTGTTCGACGCTCTGTCCATTGATAGATTGAGTTTTTTTAGGAGCATGCCTTCTCACCCTTCTTGCTCCCGGCCCTCTTGCTCCCGTTATCCCTGTCTCCCCATAAGCCCATTCTACCTCCTCCTTCTCCTTCCCGCTCTCCTTGTTACCATCCATCCCTGTTCGCCTACCCCTTCTTGCGACATTACTTTTCCGTTCTTTCTCTTTCTCCTCTTACTTCTCCCTCCCACGCCCGTTTCCATCCCTCTCGTCATACATCTCCTCCTCTTCCTCGTTCTTCTTCTTCTTCTTCTTCTTCTTCTTCTTCTTCTTCTCCCACTTCTTACTCTTTACACTCTGGTTCGCATTCTCTCCCATTTCCTTATAACTCCTCCTCCTCATCCTCCTGCTTGCAGCCTCCAACCCCTATTCACGTCTTCCCTCTCCTCATACCCTCGCTCTTCTTCCTTGTTCTTGTTCTCCTTCTTCTAGCTCTCTCTCACCCCTGTTCGTGTCCTCCTTCTCAACCCCCACCTCTTTCTAGTTCTCGCTCTTCTTACCCACCCTCTACATTCTCCAGCTCCTCATAAGTTCACTCGTTCTCATTCTCTTTCTGCCTTCCACTCAGGCTCACTTTCAATTGCTCATTTCTTCTCATCCATCTTTCCCCTCTCCTTCCTATCAATTTCACCCCTATCGTGAAACGGCAGGCCAGTTGTCAGCAGTCCACTAGGTCAAAGCATCAATTTTCGAGTTGTTTTTAGCTCTGTCATTCCTCCGACCTTTTCCCGCTGCTCACAAATCGGACTACTCCATCATGAGCGTACGCATTCAGGTCGTGGAGCAAGAGGAGGCAGTTCTCGTCACTTAATTTTTTCGCCTGCCAACGTATTTCACTCCATATTTACTGCCAACATTTACGAAAGGACGGACTAGGTCGACCAGTTTCTTGCATCCCTTTTATCTTCTGAGGGCAAAGTTTCTGACCTGTCATGATGCAAAGGCCTCTGCCGATTAGAGTTTATTTTATCTCATTTCTCGCATCCTAACTGGGCAGCTGCATGATGGTCAGTAGTGGGTTTTTTCGTCAATTTTTGCTTGTTCACTTGCCTGACAAGCGAAAATCACGCCATTGTACGAGGGATGCCCTTTTGTACACACATGCTCAGGAGAGCACAAACAGAAAAATTCATGCACAGGCAACTGCAGTAGCTCTAGGATACAGTCACTAGGTTAGTGCAAATTCATGAAAATTAATCACTTCCCAATCGAGGATAACTGGCCGCTTGGGCGCTAATAGCTGGATCACAGGCGTGCGGGCCGTGACCTGCTGAACTTTCATCACATGGAGTGGAATTGAAGGTGATGATTGCTCGACCACCTGGCGCTCTGGCGATGGCAATAAACGACGCGTTCGCCTATGCATTACCCGAGTGGTGAATTTCTTTAAACAAACTAGGCCTCAGCACCGAATATGGATTGAGCAGATCGTCGCAATTGTCTATAGACTGGGAACCGGTGAACCATGGCTCAAGTAACTCGCTACTCACACGGCAGTCACCTATCGCGAGAACTTCGACTTCATTTGAAATTTAAAAGTTTGGTCTGGTGTAGTCGAACGAGTCGCGACTTGGGAATCTACGTAATTTCTCCAAACTGCTACCGCGTGTTCAGTAATTCACGCCTTAACACTTTGACTGCGACGTGCGTCATATGTGGTACAGGCAATATGGTAAACTACGGGCTATTTTTGGGAGTCGCAGTCAAAGTGTTAAGAAGTCTTCGAGTTTCTCCAAAGAAGTTGCTTTGTTTGAAGCTGCAACAGATGATATAAACAACTCCAGATGTTTTTTTTGCCGTGGCAGTGGATCTGTTAGCTTCATTATCTGACGCCTTATGGTTGGCCCAGCCTATGTGCAATTCCAATTCCAAGTGGTGTGAGATAGCAGCCGACGGCCCCTGAGAAGTTTTCGACCTTCAGAATCGCTCACTGGCCTCGTCTGCCACAAGAATTGAGATGGCCTAAAAAGCAAAGTATTTAGGAAAGAGACAAACACGATTCAAGTACTGAACTTCAGCAACAACCACCCCAGTCAGCCACAAACGCAGTTGCGTAAGGAGGCTTTATCGCGTGTTAAGACGCACTGCAGTGAATTGGAAGACAACCTTGATAACCTGTCATGATACGCATGTCTCTTGCCAATACAGGAGAATATGCGAGATCCAGGAAGCAGCTCAGAAGAAGATGCAATCACTGGAACAAGAGTTTTATTTTCC